ACTGGAAGCATTAATGTTCATGGAATTATTTTCTGTTTTTCCATTCCTCTCCGTAGCAATAGTAGCAGTTTTGACCTAGAAAATACATTTTATGAGACATTTTTCATTATGAAAAAGTTATTTTTCTCTCCTTCCCTCCTCAAGTAGTTCCCCTTTCCATTTTATTCCTTTTATTCAATCTTACTCTGATATTCTTTCAGCTTTTCAGAGACTTAACATTATAGGTTATCTGTGGTTTAGGCGACTGGGAAACAATATTCAGCACATTGTAACAGGTGAGTGCATCTGAAATATTAGTTATCATTAACTGACCACTGTGAATTTCAATGTCATAAAACAAATTAGGTGGAAACAAGTCAAACAGTCTTGTAGAGACTTTTGAATCCTTACATGATTTCTTTGCACCATGCAAATTAAGTGAAAATTGTAAGTGCAGCATAGAAAAATCTCTAATGAAATAGAAACTTGACAGATATATCTTGATTCATGCCTTACATCCAGTACACTCAAATGCATGATAACGTTGAAAAGTTGTGGCTTTAGATTTAACTTTTTAAAACCTAATCAGGTTAATTCTTAAGCTGTTTTTAAGAAAGTGATAATTTAGAATAACGCATATTGTAACCACTCATGAAATCAAGATATGGCTTTCTTAAAACTATTAAGTCTAGTTGTATTTCACTTACATACATCAAATATTTATTCTTCTTGTCGTCCAGGTTAAAAAAAAATAACATGAAAACAAGACAGAATGATTACACTACCACCTCTATGCTGCATCTGCAGCATTAAGGAAAACAAGAAAAAATACGTCAGTAGTGACATAATGTGCAGAAGACTATCCTTTCCTTCATCCTTTGGAAACGATGGAAGTGATGTTTCAATCATCCCACCAAGGTTACTGTGCAGTTTCTGCAATATCAGTTGAGAGGTACAAAAAATCAGCACGTACTCAGCTTATCCTACAAAATTCTCAATAGTTAAGGATAATGTCTTTCTTTAGCAGCTACTCTTGCAATGCTTGACCAAGATTAGTGGACCTAATGAACCACTAATCCTGAAATGGACCAGAGGAAAGGAAAGACTGGATTTCTGCCAAGAACCCACAAGGTGATGAGGCAAAATCAAATCTTTAGATTTCGATTCAAACCTACTGGTTCATACTGAGGTTGTTGAGAGCTGAATTAATTTAGTCATTCAGAAGTTACACGTCTAGTCTAAGTTAGTCATTCAGGCTACCTCTAAATCTAATGGGCAGAGCTTGGCAATTCCAGAGGGTGCTTCAGCCTACTCTTAAGTATGTGTCTAAAACCACACTTTCACTATCAGTTTAATCCAGTGCAAGTCAGCATCTTCCTGTGCTCTAAAGTCCCTTGAGGTTCAAAGGGAAATCATGACAACATGATAATTCATCTTCTAATCTCACTCTCTATGAGCTTTCATATGTCACAGGTCTCATGATATGAGAGTCAAAGGGTTTGGGTGAGAGATGTACTTAGGCAAATTATCAGCCCATTTTTTCCTAGAAATGTCACGCTCAATTTGTGTTAACTATCCTCCATAGTGCTTTTAAGATAAAATAATCTAGCCCAGAAACTGGAGTTCATGCCACTTCTGCTGAGCCTGATTTGTCTACCAGGCTTTTCACGAGCTGTGCTAACACATGCCCATTAGCTGCAAGGGGCAAAACCCCAGCAAGAACAAGGCATCCACACACATTTCCACATGCCTCCTCCTGGCAGGCTTTAGCACTTTCTGCTGTCTAAAAACAGGAGTCCTAAAAGAAAAGGGAAATGAAGAAAAAAAAACCCCAGAATGTGGCATACAGTTTATCACATGATTTTCTTTCATCTGAAACCAACTGGTACTTTGCCGACATGACCTGGAGAGCGAGGCATTTCCTTTTCTGCTGTGTGACATTTTACAGGCGACACTGCAGTAGAGGATGGCCAAGCCTGGGCCAACGGCTGCTCAGAAACATTTGGGGCACCTGGCAGTGGGCAGCGTAAGACGCAGCACCACAAACCTCCCTTCTTCCCATCGTGGAGTGGGAAAATGCACGCCTCACGCTGGGCAAATCAGCCTCGAAAGCAGGTGCATCTCCTGAACACCATACAGTGAAATCATTTGAAAATTACAAAATCAGTGGCAATTTTATAACCTTTACATGAAAAAGATTCACTAAAAGGTAACTGACAACCAGTGGGGATGTTAAATATACAACTGGAGACGGGCTTCTCTGCTTGCATGTAGAAATCACGCTACGCTAAAGAAGAAAATGAAGAAGTGATGTCTTTGTCAATGCACCTTGTTGGACCTTGGGTTTAAATTTTGGCAAAGTTATTTCAGTTCTTCCCAAAGAAATATTTCTAACTTCTAACTAATCTTTGAGGGTACTGAGGGGAGGATGAGAAGACAAAGGTATTCAGCTAGGATACCCAAGTCCATGGTATCTTTTGGGAAGGAAACACTTTGCTCTTGTGATCCTGATCGAAATGCCTCTGTTCTGTAAGCACGCTGCCTTTTTGATTGCTACGCAGCTTCAAAAGACGGCTTCATGTTGTAGCAGCACTTCATAGACCACTTAACTGAGCTGTGAACACCCAGATCATCAAAAACCAAGACTCACACACCACGTTGGAGACATAATTTAAATTATGCATCTTGGTCCACACTTTTCAATGCCCCATTTAGTACAGATATACACCTAACCCAGGGGAATTACTGAAAATCCTCATTCTGGTTGGCAAATCACATCTATCTTTACACAGGTACAGCAAACTCAACAGCATCTAATATGTCACTGAACTTAAAAATAAAAGATTACTCCTATTGCTTTCTGTTGATATTGAATTAGGAAGTGAACAACAGAAAACACTAATATTTGCATCAAAATGGCATATTAGCCCAAAGAGCTTCAGGAGAATTGAAGTCTTAAAGTCATAAAATGATGGGGTTGAGGATTATCAAGAGATGTTGTTCACAGCCATATCCTCTCCCTCTCCAATTTGTATCACTGGCCAAGTATAAAAATTCTTCCCCCGCCTCTTAACAATTTCTCTTCAAAGATCAAGCATAGACTGTGGCTGGACTAGATGGACCATTGGTCCGCTCTGGTCTGATGAATTCCACGCAATAATGCTAATTAACCTCTTGGAGAACATCCATACATAAAACTGTTTCATAATTTATACATAGCATCTAGGCTGCTGTGTTGAATTTAGAATTGAGTTCAAGACAGAGGCTGTTTGAAGCTGGGTTGAAAAAACACCCTCCTCCTCAAAAAAACCCAACAGAAAACAAAAAAGCCCTCAGCAGTGCAACTTCAGGACTTGGGAGAGGAGGTGGAAAAAGTATTCATTTAGGAGAGAAAAACAAAACAAAACATAATCTCTCATCTGATCCACACTTAAGCACAACCTCTCACCCCGCCCACACTTATAGCCACATTTTCTGTTCAGGAAAGAAACCACAGATCAGCTATTTTTTTGACAGTAACCAAACTTTGCAAACACTAACTGAAGAGGGGAGCATTATTTTACAAACATAACACTGAGAATCAGAAACTCATTTGGCCGTCTTCCTACCACCAATCAATTTAGTCATTTAGGAAGACTTGGAAAAAAAAAATAACACATCCATCCCCTCCTGGCCTGCTCAGATATATATCTTCTCATCAAATAAGACTGATTACAGAAGCAAGAAGTTCTGGATTAATTCAATCTTCCTAAACAAAGAACAGGTTGTTATAGAAGGAATAACCAATCTGAAGAGGTTTTCACAAACATGGAAGCTCATTTCTTCCCCATTGAAACTGAAACAAAAAAATCTTTTATAACACATTCTCATAAGTACTGTTTTAGCTTGGGAACAAAAATCTTCTTTAATCCTGGTTTAGCTTTTAATATTACATCGTACATTAAAATTCATAAAGTAGTTCATTCCAGGCAAAACAAACTACTTTTCAGTTCGGCTCTGCAAATAGCACAGGAGGTACAATAAATGCTGTTGCTTTCAGAACAGCTTTTATCAGGACAAGGTTTACTACTCCATTATTACAGTGGCGCCTGGAAGTGCAGTTATAGTTAAGTGTCAGGGTTTCCATTAACTCTCGTCCATGGTGGTTTTCGCCAGGAGGGGGAAGAGGGTTGCATTTATTATTTTGTTCATTTTTACTTTCCTTAAAATGCAACTTGGCACAAAGACTATCAACCTAAATCTCAAATTTTGCAGACTGAAAACCAAAAATTTTGCTGGTGGTGACGTATGGCATGCGCATGCCTTGGAACTCCAGGGTTCCACCATCAAGTTTCACGGGAGCTGGTGTTATCCAGAGTTCCTTGCAATGGAGGTTTACTGGTCCTCAAACACCAGCAAAACAGTGTCCTCCTCAAGACCAGTTTTTCAAGAGTGACATTCTATCCCTGCGACCCAAGCTGAAATTGCTTTAGCATGAAGGAACTGTAATTTATCTGTAGTCAGAGGGAGGCCAGGATTCTTTTTATGAAAATGAAGGTTTTTGTCAATTGAGTACCCAGAACCATGACTCATGCAAGATTTGTGGATACTTCTTAAAACACTGCCTTGTTAGAATTATATTCCACTCTTGATGTTACGTGTACTCTGTTTTTACACAGGATGATGATGGGCCCCAAGAGTTAGCACAGATTTTCTTTGGGGAATATGGGTGGTGAGAAGGATTTCTTCCTCTGCTCTGCTGAAATGGAGATCACTTGCCCTGAGAAGGAAGTGTTTGTAACTGCAGGATGGCTAACAAGCTTTAACCGGAATATTTTGGAAAAGAAAATCTGTGACTTGGTCACCTGTCTCCATCCTACCCCCAGGCTGTACTAAGGAGGAGGGGGTCCTCTTCCCCCCACCACTTGAACTGCCCCAATGAGAGGGAGAGGCCATCCCTAGCACCTCCTTGGGGAACTCCATCCACCCTGAACGTAGCTCCAGACTCAGTATGACCACATCCTCTCGTTCCCACACAATGTGTAATAGACTCATCCTCTGAACTTGACTTAGGGCTACCCAGAAAGGACCTCTGTGAGGTGATCCGCAACATGAAAGTGTTGAAGAGGGAAAAAGAAAATAATAAAAGAAATAGAACAACAAAGGACCTTTTTTTTTCCTTCTAGGTTGGAGAGGTTAAACTATGTCTCCATGCAGCACCTACCTGATGGAGATGCTAGTATTTATTAACTCCACTGCCCCAGGAAAGAGCCTGACAGACAGGCTTCTGCCCCAGGAGGTGGCAAAATGAACAACATCCAAGGGAAAAAATTTTGTTTACGCCATCTCCTTGTGCTCAGTCTGCCAGCGTGGAAGATAGTAGCAGACTTTTACAACTTGACCAGCTTAGAGGGCTACACACATATCCCAAAAGCTCATGCATTAAAGGCTAATGATTTCAGTTAAAAAAAAAAAAAATAAGATTTTGCTTTTTTGTTTAAGTCAGAGAGAAAAGGAGAAGTAAGGGGGACAAAGAGCTTCTTAAAGGATTTCAAAAACGAATTGGAAACAATCCAGATACATTAGCTCAAGTAGCAACTAGTAAGAATGCTGGAAAAATGAGATAAATTCAACACAGTTTCTTCTAACTCAGGCACCAGGGTTTATGCTTAGTGAGTTCCTACTACACTACCCTATCAGACCTCCAAGGTCACGCTTTCTGGTTTTGCATGCAACAGTATGCAAAATTCACACAGAACAAGCTCAGCTTCTAAATGGTTAAGTCTGCTCTACTGTCTGGCCACCAGTTGGCAACACAAAAATGCAAAATAGATCCTTTTCAGGATGTTTATTTTCACATCCTTCCGAAACTGATAACTTGCAATTGCAAAATAAACCTTCATGTGTGGCATATTAGCTCCCATTTTTCATGGTTTCATAGTTTAATTGTTTCAAATGTTACACTGGTCTAAAGATTTAATGTTAAATATGTTGGCTCTTGCGTAAATTCTGTTGTCAGGATAAACGGTCTGTTTTGTCTTTCAATAGTTATCCAAGCTCACAGCTAAGCTAGAAAAATATTATGCTGTATTCCTGTATAGTGAACTTTAAATAATTGCATATAATAAATCTAGTAGTAAGAACGCTAGTGGTTTTATTTCCTTAGTATCAAACATTCAATAAACTGTGGAGATTTGGGGGAGGGGAGAGGGTATCAGAGTAGTAGTTTGCATTAATAATTTTGCAGTATCCTGACTATAATTTATTTCTGCTACAATTTGTAAAGTTATACTTGCCAGTGCAACAACCAGAATAATTGAATTATTATTTCTAGCATTAAGAACTGTACCTATGTTACCAACATGGGTATTTCAATTTTCAAACTTAAGGTTCACACTTAGTAGCAGGTGGCAAGTGCTACGCATGTTTATAGGTGGGTAATTCTGGCAACCTGTAAAAAGGTTGCACAGAATCCCATCTCAGAGGTTTCTACATTCTCAGTCCATCCACTAGGTAAAGTGCATATGTTTTGCTGAATGACAGAGAACAATACAGCAACTAGAAATATAACTGTTTTGTTCTGTAGACCTCAAGTATTAGTCTATAGGGTTTCCTTGTTAACCTGTTTTCCTTTCAAAAAGGATCAGAACAAAACCGTATGCTGTTTCCACTTTGAACTGCCGCGATTAGGTTAACTATACTCCTGACTCCCTCTAGAAAAATGAAATGTAATTATGAACAAGAGAAGAGTAGAGACAGATAGATCCTCCGACCCCTACGTTTGGACTTACAGTATGTTTTGTCAGTTAAGAAACCCCTAAGTCTTGCTTTATTTCTGGCTGCAAGGGAGTTACACAGTTTAAAGTGTGAATTAAAACCAATACAAGGACTACCTCTGACTCCACATCCTTCTGGAAAGTCCTGTAATTAACTCTGTTCTTTAGCTGCAAAATTGCCCAAGACCACTTGAGACAGAGTGAGACATTACCTTGGCAGAAAGAGATAAGTTAAGAAGCAGGGTTAGCTTTTGCTCTGAATTACCTGGGTTGTGGGAGCAGGTACAGATACTAAAACAAACTCGAATGTTATTTTAAACACAGTTATCTATATTTAACTATTTCCCACTAAAGCATTACTATGTAAGTAGATTCTCATCCTTTATCTTGAAGAGTATCTGTAGTGGATTTCACAGGCTAAACTCAGTTAATGATAACAAAACTAGACCATTAGCACAGTCTGTTCTTTCTGCTAAAAATATTTTCTCTTCTTGTGTAAAGTACTGCTGCAGGTCAAAGTGATCTTCTGTCCTCCCTTTTCCTACAATTTTGTTATTCGTTACTTCAGTGTGGTCTTCAGCATCCATTAGCTGCAGGAAAATTAGAAAAATAACCTGGAGGAATTTATAGTGTTCCGAATGGGTGTGGAATATAGTCATAGACACATGCCTCAGCCTGGTTAGTAAAAAACTGCTCTGTGTTTATGTACTCAACCGTCACAAAATTCCCACAATCCCAAAGCCTTGCTTTGTATAGCAAATCTGGACTGTGTGTGCTGCATGATTCCCACGTATCTGTAGATCAGTTTGTTTTGTCCTTGCATAGGTACAACCTTGAGCCACAGCAATGCAGAGCATTTCGGAAAAGGTACGCTGGTTTTTGCAGCGTTGCATTCACAACCACATTTCTTCTTTGTGGAAACCCCATGCATTCCTATGGCTCACACCTGTATTTCTCAGGTACCCTAAAACCAGCATCAGAGTCTCCTTGACAGACACAAGGACTGCACCGCTGAATTTCTGGATCCCACTCTATCAAACTTTGTAATTTTGGGAGAGCTAAACCAGTAGTCCCACTAGATTTTACAGAAATCAACAGGAGTTTCATCTGAACAAATACTAAATGAAGCTTTAATGAACATATCCCAATCTTTCAGAGTGATGGATATAGCAAGTCTGTTACGTTATCCGGTTGTCAGTAGCTCAACCTGATGAAAGTGTGCCCAGCATTTTGGGATGGAGTCTTCTTTGCCTCATCCATTTAGTTTTACCTGTTCATGTTCTGGAAGATATTTTTTAAGGCAATATGATGTACTCATACTTCTGCTTTCATTCCCAATCAGTTTAGTGGTCAAAATCCTTCAAAAACCCTAACCTCCAACATTAAAAGCACCACCTGAGAATTATAGGAGAAAAAGACAGCTAAAAGTCAGCATGTTCCAGGCCCAGTAACGCTCGTATCTCAATAAAACGAGCAAAAAACTCTGTAGGGGCCATAATGGAGAGAATTTATCTTAAAACTAGAAAATAGGTAGTAATAAACCGCTACTAACATCCATTATATTTCTTAAATTTAATTTGTGATATGCACTGCAAATAATGTTCTATGAGCATTTAAAAAATGCAACAGTAAAAGCTTTCTTCTAAGAAAGGTATCACCCAGCAGGATAGTGAGAAAGCAGAACGAGCAAACGTAGAAGACAGAGAGAGCAGTTTACTTGTGGAGGCCGGCTAGGCGGTGTGCTTATGAGAGGCGCGGGGCCCATCGCAGAGGCTGCGTTCAAGCTCCTTTCCCTTTCGTCCTGGTAAATTCGATCTCGTTCGGCTTCTGGCAGTTGCAAGAAGTTCTGCATAGCCCGAAGGTTTACCAGTAAAGACTGCGAGGCAGTCTTGGGATCCTCTTCCTTTCGGAGGATTTCTGAGAGCAAGCCCTGTAGGGAGGGAGGAAAAAAAAAAATACACTGGAGAGTTAGCCTAGATGAGTTAGACTAGGTGAGTGCCTGTAAAACCGGGCTCTGCAAAGCCACTGCTTATCAGCCCTCTTTCCACCTGGCTGAGAACGAGCAAATGCACTATTCACTCCACATAGGAATATATTAGTGGCAATTTAGGTAGCAGAGAAGAGAGCCTCAACTGTACCCTTAATTTTATTAAGCATCTGTTTTACATACAACATAAACTGAATCTGCCTAACAGGTCTCCTTCCTTGTACTGGCTTAACTTGCCATGAAATATTTCACAGTTGCCAGACAATCACAAGATGTTAATAATAAAGTGAAACACAGATAGTCCAGAGGTGTGACACTGGGGGGTTCTCAGGCTTCCCAGACAAAATGTATAGCCAACCTAAAGAAACGGCTTTCCACATTTCTAGCAACTTAAAACAGCTTTTTGAAAGGAAGTGGTATTTCACAACTAATCTGATATGATAAACCTACAACGTTCCTTTTTACAAGTCAGTATCTTGTTTTGAGATTTATATATTTTTGAATTTAACAAGGGGTGAGGAAACTCCCTGTTGAATGCTCCCCCTCCTTTGCCCTTCTCCTCCGCCCACCTTCCCTGTCTCCTCACCAGGACAACCCTAAACCTCAGCCAGTCCATCGCCTGGGCTGTTTATTTGAGCACCTGCTGTGTAGGTCCCATTTCCTAAGCCCATTTACCATTGCTGTCCTTTGACCACTTTCAGAGTCCAGCAACTTCAGACAAAAGCCAGCAGTGGGAAATGAGAGGAGAGCAGCATACAGGGCACCCGAGATGGGCAGGCTGCAGAGGATAGCATGCCACCAGCGGCTTCTACAGACCACACCAGGTTTCCTACGTAATCGTTTCATCTCAGTTCTCAGCAACAGAGCAGGCCTGGCGGTCTGGGACACCTAATTACTCAAAAAGGTGAAACGTTTATGAATCTGTGAGTTCAACGAGAGCTTTAATGTCAACAGGTTCTTGAAATCTCCCCCCTGCCAAATTCTCCTTTTAAGCATGTCGGGCATACAAAATGCTCTACTGTCTTGAAGTAACAAGGTGGTGATAAGAAAACTAACTTTTGCAAAAACAAATGTGAACTTCTTTTTAGAATAAATGCTGTTGCCACGCTGGGAAAAGGAGAGGATTCGTGTGACAGGCTTATATTGCTAGTGAAACAAGGGAACATGGATGTGATTTTAAAGAAATAACACAACCCAATGTTTCTTTTCCTAAAGAACTGCTGTTAAGTTATTTGGGATAACAGAGGGGTGAATGGTAGGGTGGAGGGAGGCAGTGAAAAAGCTAAAACTGAGAGAGGCAATCCCGACTGAAGTTATCCATTCCTAAGGGAGTGCCACAGAAAGCTACAGTCTGAGCATCAGCTCCTGCCACCTCCGCAGGGAAGTCTGATGCTCACAGCACCTGTGGAAGTTGCCACCTCTCCCTAAGGCCCTATTCTATCGGGCAAAAACACCCTCTGAAGGCGCTGTGACAAAAGCACTGCTCTCAGGCAGCTGTGCTTAAGGCAGGGACAGAGCCCACCCAGTGCAGCTCTGAGCTCTGCATTTGCCCTTTCAGGGACGATGGGGTGCTAACCTCTACGCTGGGGCCAGCATGGTCCTCATGGCCCTGTCTGTGCTGGCACACATAAGTCTTTCCAGCACTAAGCACAAAAAATTATTTGGGGGAGGATTTAATAAAAAATAAATATCCTTTCTTACCACTATTTTTCATCCCTCCACTTTTCTGGTAGAAACTACTCAGAAGGTAAATAACTGAGTTACAGACAAAAGTGGCATGTGGGTGGAGTAAAAGTTTTAACATTTTTCTTAGTGATTAGTCTAATAAATTTACTTGTTAGCAAATATGGAAATTAAATTCTTATCTACCATTTTTTTTCCTACTACTAAGCACTCAAAGCCACAGTTACTATTGTCTGTCAGTAACAGGGTTACACGGCCCATTGTCCGAGGGAGGCAATAATGATTTTGTGCCACTGGAGACAAGCAAAGCTGCCTGCAAAGCACAGGATGTACGATGGAGGTGTAAAAACATGTGATTTCTGACTGCTACTGTGCTGAAAACAACCACACCAGGACTAAAAAGAAGAAAGAAAAACTAAACTCAAGTGGACTGACCACTGGCAGGAGAGGAGACTCCTTACTATCAGCCAGCCCACTGTCAGCCACAGGAAACGTCCTTGAAAAATACTTTAGCCCAGCATAGAAAATATTTGCTCATATAAGCCTTTGCCACGTCATGGGCAGCTAAAAAAAAAAGCAAGAAAAGGCTGTTTTTCTTGTATAACTTTCCCTCCCCTCAGTGAAATATGTAAACAAAGAAAATCGGTTTTTGTAGTTTTCCTGGGTTTGTCCGTATAACCATTGCTGCAGGACACCTCCTGGTGATTAGAAATGCCATTAAGTATTCATTCCCCTCTCCTTCCCCCATCACTGCCATGACTCTTTGCAGGAGTCAGGAGCAGAGCAGAGGACACAGATGGGAAGAGAGGAGAGGAGATGAGAGAGCAGAGAGAAGGCAAGGAGGAGGCGTTTGGTTCAGGAGGCGTTTGGTTCTTGGAGCTTTGAACCTAAAGGTCAGAATACGTGAGGAAATAACATGAAAAAAAGAAGGTGTAGTACCAGGTGCAGGCAAAGTCTTACAATACGGTTTACCTGCTTTGAATATTACTTCATTGCTACTGCTTCAATTTGCTGAGCACCAAACTTCAGCTAAAGATCGTTAAGCAAGATGTAAAATGGGAAAATCCTAGAAAGAAAACATCAGCTCTCACATCCTGCCCCACGCTGACACGCAGAGGTTTACTGTTTGTTTTACCAGGCTCGAACTGGTTTGCCAAGATACAAGTCTCGGTGTGATCTCCTGATATTGTACCTCAGATTGCATAAAAGCTAAATGTTGTTTTGCATAGAGCTTATAAACACTGATGGGCTCAGAGTCCTCTCCTCCCTGTTCCTCCCCTGTATTCTTTTCACACTGGAAATCTACTTTCTTAAAATGTTACCAGGTCCCACTGAAAAAAAGAGAGTTTACATGTCATCACAAGTATAATTCATTACTAATTGCACAAAAATGTTCAATAAATATTATCAGGGCTTTCAAAAGCTAATTATGAATTCTTTAAAACTGGAGATAACGAAAGTGTCTGCCAATACGAACAAAAACACTGCCTGTCTGGCCCCCAGTTCGTCTCCTCTTTGAACGCAATCACTGATTCAAATAGATTTTATCAGCCTGATAGAACTTCAAAGCTCCCAGAAGAAAAATGCAATTTGCCCAAACCTCCCCAAACCAGGCAGAACATCCCTGAACACCATCCCTCTCTGTTGCAGGGTGCTCCCATCCCATGTCCAGGTGGAAGATTATCCACAAGCTCCACCCACAAGCCTGGATCCCTGCCAAGTAAGTTATAAGCAGACACATTTATCTATGTCGCTTAGTAGCAAGAGGAGAGCTGTCATGATAGTGTAATAGCACCTTTTTACCTCTTATTCAATAGTGATATGGATAGCGTGCTTTTTCTTAAATTACACTACGAAGAATTATATGAATACAGTGGCAATTTCTGTTATACTTAAGCAGGCAAATTTCTTTCTACCACATAATTTACAGAACTCAAATTCAATAAAACATTACATGATGGTCCATTACTGTTATCAATTTTGAATAATCCATCTTCATTTTTCATTTTACTGGAAAATAAAGTGTGCCAAAGACAAAGTGGAAGAAAAAAAAATGCCGGAGAAGGTGGTTTGTGTAAACTTAGATTTTGTTTTAAAATTACACGGAGCCATTGGCTGCATCCAAGGTTCCCCCTCGAAATAGCAATTGCTCAGAATTAGCATGAGCACAATCCTAAATACATGGAAGTTTTCACATATGAGAAAAGGCATTATACATGAACGAAAGGCAATGTATCCTGGCAGCTAATATTTTAAACACGCATGGGGGTGAAGTAGAAAGGAGGGGGAGAGAAAAGGTATCTGGCAGAAACACTGAGAAGTACTCAAAAACCTTGAGATGAAAAACTGTCACTGGTGGGAAGAAGAAAAATTACAATAGTCAGAAATGGCAAAAGCAGCAAAAAGCACTCCCCCTCCTTTTGCGAAGATGGAGCCGAGAGGTCACCTCCTTACAGCAGCACCCAAGTTCATGCAGCAAATGTTATGGTTGAAAGTGTACACAAACAGAGACAGGCAGCCCCGGGTTACAGTTCCAACCACAACCATGACTAACACAATTCCTTGCTCGTACGTACATGTCACCCTGCCATGCACCAGGTTAAGCTACGCCTTCAAGTCAAATGTCAGACTTGCCTGTGGGAACCTGAGCTTTCCGTTTCCTGACTCATGTTTGCATTTACAAACCCACGACACAAATGGTAGAGGAGTTTGTTTATTTGTTTAGGGCTCTGAAGGTGGTTCAGCCAAGCAAACGCCGATGCTCCGCTCCAGCTCTCTCAAGAAGAACAAACCAGAGTAGAGAACCTCCCAGTCCAACCGCAAATTCAGAGGGACAGGCTGAGCCCCTCCACTAAGGGGAGGCTGCAGCAGAGGCTGGTGCCCAGGGCACCGCGCTTTGGGGGGCTGCCCCCATGCATCGGCACCATCCCCTGTAACTGCTCGGTGCCACCCAGGCCAGTGAGCTGATGACAAATGCCATTTTCTGGCAGCAAAGAGCACGAAAAGACTGAACTCTGGAGGTGTCTGCACAGTACACTGACATCAGCTGGAAAAAATACTACGTTTACTAATTCAGCTGAATGGCAACCGAAACATAACCAGCTCAATTTACTGAAATTACCCTAGCAAAGAGAGAGTGGTACATACATCTGGTAGCCATGCTTGAGGTGAGACTCAGATCTGCTAGCGCAAATCCTGACTCAACAAACTTCTCCATGGTGCGCTACAAAGAGGTGCTAACAGGATTCAATCTGTTTCTTCGCAGGCAGTGAGCTGGAATCGCAACTGCTGAAGGACAAATAACACTTCAGACCCCACCGCGCTCTGAAGGCTTCCTAGAAGGAGCACTGTGAACTTTCTCATGGGGAGAAGGGCTCCATCCTCCCAAACCACTTCTGCTCCCTACAACAACTGTTCCATTGTGCCTGTATAGACGCTAATTTTCATTCAAGTTATAGCTTCCTGGACTCCTCTTTGATTAAACTTTGCAAGGCGTGTTCCCGAGAACTACACATTTTTGAAACTACCATTTTGAAGTTAAGGGGAGGGGGGAAGTCATGCAAGAAGATATTAAGGACACCCTTTCAATTTGCTGAGGTATGGCTGAGGGCTTTTTTTCTGCCTTATAAATAGATGATAATTAAAGAAAAAACAAAACCAAAAGACACCCTGGTTTTCAGAAGTAATTTTCCCAAATACTTTCCTTTGGGCTGGGAGGAAGCAGAATTATTTCCAGTCAACATTTTTCTCCCAAATCAAAAATTCTTGGAAATTAGGGCCAAGTGTTGAGTTACCACACTAAGCTGGTAGAACCCCCTCTTCCCACCCAAAACCCCCATCAAATTCTGTATTTATATGGCAGAGCACAAGTTTGTAAAACAAGAGGTGCCAACATGTTCCTCCAATTCAACCAAAGCCCATTTTTATTGCCAAAACATTAAGCTAAATTACTCTTAGTTTATAGTTTACTTCCTTTCTTAACTTTTATGCTGAAAGCAAATCTCTCCCCCCATCTGAGACCATATCGCAACATCAGGGGTTTTTTTGCACAGACCTCCTAACCGATTTCAGTGAGATCTTCTGCCTTCAGAAGCTGATGGCATGATATGGTCCCTGGACACGGCTCAAATATGCTTATGACAATTTCAAAAATGTCAGTGGTAAGCCTGAGTTAGCTTTTTATCTCAGAAAACAGTAGATGAATTTAAACAAGCATTTTCACTTGCTCTAGCCGGAAAAAAAAAAAAAAAAAAAAAGGATACTTTTCATTTTTTTCAGATAGTAACTTAGTTGTATATACTACATAAAAGCGTCTTCCCAAGAGGTAGAGTAAAATCACACTACACTCAACACACTAAAAAGAGAAAAAAAAAAAAAAAAAAAAAAAAAGACAAAGGATACTACATCAATATTAGAAAATAACATCTAAATAGCATCGGTTATTAAAGTGCTTCCCTGATTTTAGTTAAATGTGGTGCATCCTTGAATAACCTGAGATAAATTCCTTAGCACATCAAGCAAAACACATTTAAATGCTTTCTTATAAGAATCACAGGTATCTCTACCTGTATTTATAATTGGACATTAGCTGTTATTGTAGGTATAATTAACAATTTTCCATTTTGCAAGGGTGAAATGTGCCTCCAACACACTCCTCTTGATTTCAGTGAGGTTTCGCTGCGTATTAAAAGTACGCCGAGATACTTCTTGGCAACACTAAGGCTAATACTGCCTAGGCTCCTAGTATTTTTCCTTTCTGCTCCCTGTGTTTTCCACAATACATAACAAATGCTGCAAAATCTTGTGTAGTTAACTGCAAATACTAATTTGACTAGCTAACACAATTTGTAGGATATAGAGATACTACTATGTGTTCTTTCAAGTAGATTGGGTTGAAAATTGCCAAAATATATTACATACATATTTCATATCTCTTCATGGGATTTGTTTTCAACGTTCAGTTTGGGGTTTCCTCCCAGTTTTGGGTCACTTAGAACACAGTTTACCAAGCTGGTTAACCACAACGTCTGTGGAAGAATTTAACTTTAAACAGGTATTTAATAATATTTGTAGTTGTCCTGGTTTCAGCTGGGATAGTTAATTTTCTTCCTAGTAGCTGGCAGAGTGCAGTGTTTTTGGATTTAGGATGAGAATAATGGTGATAACACACTGATGGTTTAGATGTTGCAAAGCAGTGCTTACACTAAGTCAAGGACTTTCAGCTCCTCATGCTCTGCCCACCACTGAGAAGGCTGGAGATACAGAAGAAGCTGGGGGCGGGGTGGGCACAGCCAGGACAGCTGAACCAAACTGGCCAAAGGGCTATTCCAGACCATATGATGTCATGCTCAGTATATAAACTGGGGGAAATTGGCTGGTGGGCTGCTGCTCAGGAACTGGCTGAGCATTGGTCGGCAGGTGATGAGCAATTGCATTGTGCATCACTTATTTTCTATATTCTATTATTATTATTATTTTCCCTTCCTTCTGTCCTATTAAAGTGTCTTTATCTCAGCCCACGAATCTCACTTTTTTTTTTTTTTTCCTTTCCCGATTCTCTCCCCCATCCCACTGCGGGGGCGGGGGGAGTGAGCGAACGGCTGTGTGGTGTTTAGCTGCCTGCCAGGTTAAATCACGACAGTAGTAAGAAAAATATATAGCAATCGGGAATCAGTATTTGCACTAGAAATCTGGTTCTACGCAGTTGCAGTCATCACATCTCAAAAGCATCTTCTTATGCTGTGTCATATAAATTCAATGTCCAGTCAAACCCAATTGTCCTTGTATTTCAGGTAACAAATACTGTTTGGGCACCAATGATAGAGACCAGAAGCTGCATGCAAAACTAGCTGACAAAAAATGAACAAATTATTTTGGAGGGGGGGAGGAAGCTGAGAGAAAATGAGCTGCCTTTCGGCAAGTCTGAGAAAGAAGCAAATATCTAATAAACTATTTATTTTCTGAATTATTTGCTCAGCTTTTTGCCCAGGTAAGATGGCAGCTGCAAACCACAGTAACTTGAAGTTACCATTATTATTTCAATACTTTATAGTACCAATAGTTAAAATATTAAACACTGTATTAAACAAAACTCTATGTCACTTATTTGTTAATATAACAACTAACACTGCCTGAACCTAACTTGTGTAAATAATCCTTGCATGAGTTCACATACCCCATGAAATTTGGTATGAAAGACCCAGATCTTGAAAACCTCCTCTGCTGTTAAGAGGAAAAGACACACACACACAGAGTTCTACAGAGAATTCATGCCATGACTACTTTCTTTTAGCTAAAGAAGGATGTAAAAAATTTTAAGGCAATAATAATTCAAAACAATTACAAATGACATGCTGATTCAAACCTGGTACCAGTGCATTTGAAAAAGTTTTTATTCTCTGAGCTATGCATGGAGAAACATCAACATTTCAAGAGAAGCCCAAATTACGATTTTTTTACTATATTCTACAATGGAAAAATACTTGATCCTTAAGTTTAAAAATGTGGAATCAAAGCAAATTTGCCTACATATTTTTTAAATATTTCCTTTAAAAAAAATCCTATTTTATTTTCTGTTAAAACACACTCTTAAAATGTTGAGATCTTATTATTTGCATTGGATATACTGACATTTCTTCCATAATTTCTGCTTGATTAAATTCCATGCAACATGGCATTAAGTTAAATTCATAGAGCAGAATAAATTATAACAGGGTTAGCTTCTAAAACAGGTGTAAAAAATAACACATTTTAGTGTTACTTATCAGCTTTGCTAGGGCTAGTTTTTTCTGCATTGAAGAGCTGAAGTATATGTTCTGACGTGGACATCAGCAATCTCAGCAGCTACTGTTTTTGCAACAAACTACAAAAATACATGAAAAGAGTAGATGATCTAAAAATAAAGCTTTTATTTTTTAATCTTTCCAGAAGCCTGAAAAGATGTTATTAAGACTTTCACTAGAAAACAATAAAAATAAACGCAACCAAGAATAAAGACCATCTCGGGTACACCTGTGAAAGAAGACAGGCTGCTCAGTGCGGTCAGTATGGGTGTACCTTTGCAACACAAAAGGCAAACTGCTGGGTGACTTTGTGAATGGTTCTGCACAGAGCTGTTCCTGTCCTTTCCAGGGAAGATTAAGTTTAAGATATTCATAAGCCATCACAGCTGGAGAGGAACCAGGGTATCTGTAAGAACAGCGGGTATTGCCACAAACCAATCACTGAAGATTTCTTTACTGTACCAACGTGGACGCTGGTCCTGCAAGGAAGCGTGGTTCCTTCACAGGAGCTAAGTGACAAGGCAGAAATGAGGAGAGAGACTTAAAAGGTGATGATTACTAAATTGAGAGAGAAAGAAGGGACTCTTAGATTTTAAAAAAATGAGGAAAAAAAAGATGACTGACCTGAGTTCGGTTAAAAGCCACACGTGCAAATACTGCCTGTGAGATTCCTGCTCGTTTCAGTTCATCACGGACCCACTGGTAGATTTCGGAAGACACCTCTGTGTTTGTTGAGACCTGCTGCTCCAACGGCTTGTTCATGGATCTACTGACAGGAGGAGGGTGGTTCAAGTACTGTTGGTTTAAGGACTGCTGGGCTAGAAGTCTGTTCACTGCATACTGCTGGTTCAGCAACTGGGCCATTACCAGCTGCTGATTTACCAGCTGAGGGCTAATGGGAGTAGATACAAGTCCAGGGTGCAGGTTTGGAAGCGGGGTCCGAACTGATGGTTGACTACCATGAGAAAGCTGAACAGGGGATGGAGGCTGTTCGGCTGTGTTCCCTGGGACTGGCTGCTGACCGAAGTTGACATGGTTGGCACCTTGCTGGGATAGTTCAGAAAGGCTATCCATCTCAACTACGGTGGAAAAGAAACATTGAAAAAGCCAACGTAAGACTGAAAATCACAAACTTCACGTTACTCACAAGATGTGCTAGTAAAAATAAAAGTAAAATGGTGCATTCAGGTTCAAGCCTACTGTACTCTCCAGCCTAGATCAGCGGGCCTATAACATCACTGTTGCGGCTATTTGACTTCAAAGTGTACCTACAAATAATGGTGTAGCGAGTATTTTTTTTTTAAAAAACATCCAACAAACTGCCCATCATCATCACTGGGCCCTTGGAGGAACCAGCAGAACATCAGAGGCAAAACCATGTGCTGGAAACCACATATGGCAAAAGAGTAACTTCCTGAGAGTTTGGCAAAGGCGCAACGCAACCGAGCTGCGAGCGTGGGGCTGCAGAGCGCATCCCCGCAGTGACGGACGCAGGGGACTTCAGACAAGGCAGCAAGCGACTGGAGAGGGGGCAAAGAGGAGAGACGGGGAAGCGCTCTGTGCGCTGCAGAAGATGCGGCCGAAACGGTAAGTGCATCTGCACCAAGGGTAAGGCGGGCTGTTACGGGAAGGCACACCTCGACCAGAGAGAGGAGCCCCCGGCGACTGGTTTTGTTCCTCCCATGGTGTCACTGCCACGACATAGGTAGCTCCCAGCCACTGGAAGTCTGTAACAAGCAGGGTGGGGTGTGGACCTCCCCGTGCTCTGCTAATTTCTAGATGCTGCATCAATTGTATAGGACTGCTAGGAACTAGTATAATTTATGTAAATTACACAGATGGGCTGCTTTATCTTGCAACCATGTATGCATGGTTTTTTTCAGTGACTTGCAACATGGTTGATTTTTTTTCTTGTATTAACTCATCTGCCTTGACACACCCTCCTTTTTAATTAACAACACAGTTTTTTAAACTACAAGAGTTCTTCCAGCTCCCCTCTTCTGCATGATAAGACAATATAAAATAACTCTAGGCTGATGTAAAGGAGTCTCCTCTTTATCAATGTATGTCACTTTTTCATTTTAAACAATCTCAGTTCTAGAGCTTTAGCAACGCTGGTCTGGAAATAGCTTTAAGAAAATATGCTTTATTTAAAAACCAAAACTCCAGTATCTTCACAGAAGTGTTGCAGTGATTTTTTTCTTTCTTGTAAAGCGTATTTTCAAAAAAAAGTAATTATGATCTTCACTAAGAGTCATTCAGTGTAAAACCACCCTTTCCTCCACAGGGATGAGAGCTGGAAGAAGAAATTGGCACCTGGACTCCCACCCACAGCCGTGTCTTCCCCCTCTGTGCTATTGTGGGCAGAAATTTAAGAAAAAAAAAAAGAGAAAGCGGGTTGTTCTGCAGAGAGGTCTGGTGCCCATAGCCTGGATCAGTCCCCCACCAGAGCACCCGCTGCTCCTCGTCTGTGCGGCTTTGGGGGCAGCATGGCCTCTCCCTCCAGCATGAGGTTCCACAGGATTACACACACACGTTTCCTATGCACGGGTTTCATTGTCCCTGAACAAATGGATGGTGAACCTTGCCTGGCAAATCACGTACGGCAAATTTTGCAGGGGTTGCTCCATGCAGGAGCACTGCAGCAATGGAGGTGGGAGTGGATGCTGCAGAAAGGCCACCCCCCCCATGCAGGCACTCTGCTGCCTTGCACACAGACCACCTGAAACCAAGTGAAGTCTTACCACCAACTTCGGTGGTCTCAGAAGAAGGGTTCAGTGTCGCACAGGAGGTACAAAGTAGATAAAGGAAAGAAACAGCCTTTTTTCACTAGTGGAAAGTAGAGATCAACCCAAGTGGGCCATTCAATTGGAATAGTAATTCAAGCAATTATCACGAAAGTGATGCATTGTCTTCATTACAGCCTTAAGCTATAAAAGGCAAGGAACCCGTTTTGGTAGATGAATGATTTTGCTTCAAATACTGAAAGCTAAGTCAAGCTCAAAATTCAATCCAAACTGAGGTCCCATTTCTTCATTCTGTTGAAAACTACGTAGAAATTTTCTGACATAAAGTGTTCAAAATTATGCTAACAGGTTTAAGAAATATTTTTTACATGGGACACTACAAAAAGATAAAAGGTATTACAGAATTAATATGTCCCACTGACGGATTTTTTTTCCCCAGTAATTTATTTGTGCTTACTACAAGCAGCAAACAATTGTTGTAACAACTATTTGTTAAAATTAATTGAAATCAGGGTCCCAAAGTTAGAGAAAGATATGAATTAATAAAATTATAGCATTCTTGTTGGAAGGCAGTGATAGTGTGGAAGCCTGTTTCTTTAAATATACATTAGCCAGAGCAAGGAAAAAATACATACATTAAAGAAATCAGTCCGTCACAGTTCCAGGAACAGGTTTTTTAAACAATTATTCTGGGTGGTGGAAGATCTCTAGATTTACAGAATGACAGCTTTACATCTCTGGCAACCCAAGTCAGTTTGGCTGTTTCAATAGCAAATATTTATTTAAATGAATTCTTTCACTATATACGTACTTTCTACATCTACTCATCAAAAGCATCCTAAACTTATTGTGAAGGGACCTGGCTTCTTATATGACTGTGACAGACCTCAATGTGACACATAATGGTATGTATCCACCATCATGGCAATTTTTATTTTTTTTTGCTTACCCATCATATCTTTTGCCTTCTTGAAATGTTTATACCACCTTCCAAATTCCTGACATTTTGCTGCTGAGACATTTGCATAGTAAGTGCTGTTCACAATGGAAGAAATCATACTCTGTGTGAAAAGGGGAGAAGAAAAAAAAATCTGTAATACGGAGCAGTACAAGTCAAAGCACAAATTATTTCAATTGTTGAAACCATTATATTTTTAGAGTTTGAGAACCATATTGCATATCGTCCAAAGCCTTTTAAAAAACTCATTAATTGAGCATAAAACCAAACCAAGGTATATTGTAAATAGGAGCAAAAAACCCAGATGTACTAAGGGAAGAACAAAGTTATCGACCAAGAAACATCAGGCAATGGGATGGGCTCTGGACGGAAGATGCTAATCTTGAAAGTGCATTTTGTTTGTACTGTTTCTGCTTGTAAATTTGACCGACCCTTCACATACCCACACAAATTTACAGGCATACAAATCCTACACTGACTCCAAAAATGCAAGCAATGCCCCAAGTTACCCATGCCTGTTCCCTTTGTACCACTTATCACAGGGCAGACCCCGGAAAATCATAGGATGAAAGTTTATCTGAATGACCTATTTGTAGGACAAAATAAGGGGGGTTAGAGTAGAATAAAGTATGTATGTAACAACCCAGAACGAACCCGGACTTGCTTTTCCTAAACAGGGTATTTTAAGTGATTTGCAGAAACAGGCTTATGAAAAGCTCTTATTGTCATGTCTAATTCTGTAACTGAGTATTAGCTGTAAAATAGACCAAAGGAGGATAGAGATGATTTTTTTCTCAAAGGTTCTCGAGATATCAGATAGCTACAGTGAGAAATTTACCTTCTGCTCAGTTTTGACCAATTTTAAAATAGTGGAATTTACAATGCATAAAACTTCCAGTTCTAGTACATTCTTTTATAAAATCAATTAAGACTATGCCTTGCAAAATGAGATAATGCTCCAACTTGAAAATTATACTCAGTATATGATGTATGAACAACAAAATTAGCAAATGGAATTTCAATAGACTGAACTTCGCCACCCTTTAGATTTCTATGTGGAAAGTAGTTACTTTTAGCTTAACTACAGGAATTGTCCAGCATATTGAGAAAACAATGACAGTCAAGAAGACAAAGCCCCGATTATTATGTTTCTTCGCTATTCAGCATGTAACATTTAGCTATATCTGTGCTGTCGCAAAATCAATGTACAGCATCAACCCTTTGTTACACAAACTGCAATAACCACTAGAAGAAAAGAGTTCAGAGTAAAAATGCAATAAATATTACTGTAAGTCTTCTTTTATAAGACTAGTTTAGCTTCTGAGTAAAAGTACCTTGATTATTGATCTCAGTGAAGTTTATTATAACCGTTTTCTACCATATTACTCAGTAACATGCTATTTGCGGAGGCTCAGAACTGCTCGAGTGAGGCAGTATTTTTTATGCCAAATGTGGATACCCTCTACTCACCAGGCAGCTATTTTAATGTTTCTCTGAATCACCAAAATTCTTACCATTCCTTGATATTAATCTGGCATTTCTGAAATTAGCTAGAAGCCTTTTGGCAGTGGTATAGGAGGAGAATGAAATCCTAATAGACTACTGCAACTTTAGCCCGAATGACCTGAACCAAGCTCAGCTCAACCCAATTTCAATTTCCAATATAACAGCAGTGCCACTAACGTCTAATACTTACAAAATTATTCTTTAAGCTCTTTTACAGATTAAACCATTTTAAACATGGGCACATGATACATAAGGCATGATTTAAAAAGTCCTTTCAATCTGAACTGGTTAATTATAAGAATGCACGGCTACCGTACATGCAAAACCTGCAGATTTGCATGTGCAAAATGGGGAACTGCGCATGTACCGGGCCACCATCTCATACTAGCTTGTGCGTATTTTGTGGACGCCATTTAGACTTCAAGACACTTTCCCCTCATTTTACTTTGCCCCTTTCAGACGTCTTTTCCTGCCCAAATAACTTTAGTAAGTATGAAAACATGTATATTAATAATAATTTCAGTAAATTACCTATTGTTGATGAAGATATTTGTCTAGGATTTCCTAGTCCTCCCTTCCATGTCATTTTACAAAGAAGATATGCCAATGACATGGCAGTTTGTGACATCCCCTGCTTCTTCAGGAATAAATTGAATGCAGTTACTTTATTTTACAACCAAACAGGGCACTGGTCTGTTTAAATAACACTGCTAGGAATTTCAGCTTTTTTTGACACGACGTCAATTTCAGGCTCTGATGGCTAATATTGGGATTTTACTCCAGCTCTTCAAAGTAGATAAAAAAAAAAACCCACAGACATTATCAACACATTTTAAAATGAAAATTATCCTGCTTTTTCTTCGAGAACACTTCATGCAAACATTCAAGTGATATTACCTACGCTAAGAATCCTCATCAGGAGGAATCAATGATTTATTTACTAATTCACTGAAGGCAAAATTTTACAAGCCAGATAAAATATTACTACCTTGTTAACTCAGAAAATAACTTGACAACATTGAATTTCATTGTTTCTATGCTTTATTTATTACGTTGTCATCAAACCTGCAGTCATGTCAGTGTAGAGAGATGCACTTTGCTATAGAAATTCCTATATAATTCCTATTGCTGTAGAATTCCTGCATGTTTTAATGGCAATCTACACATATGAATGCCCACTCTGCTTAGGGCGTAAAAGTGAAGATTAACCCTATGAGTTAGTGGTCTTCAGAGATCCGTGATCTAGACTGGAGGCATACTGGAGTTTTCCTTATTTCCCAGGTCATTACACATGAGGAACTCCCCATGTCTTGGCTTATACTTATCAATAATCAAAATGAAAATGATAGTGTTTGAAACATCCTATTCAGGTACTACTGTATGTAGGCATTCCTTATCTGTAAGGCACAGAGGCAGATGCTTTCCATGTACAAGGATGACGAATATAAATATATCATACAAATATTCAAATGCATCACATTTGTCACTCATAATCTGATTTCTTTTTCACACGTCGCAAAGAAAATTGACAGAACACAAAAACTGGTCACAGATCCGCAGTCTTAACGTCTCTCCTAGAAGTTTATCCTTGAAAGTAAGTTGCGAGACTTCAAGATCCCAAATTTCCCTCTTTCCCCTCTCTCCATCCCTCCCTGCCCCCAACCACATCACTTGCAGTCCTGTTCTGAGAATCCGATCTCATCTGAAATGGTGCCACCTTCACAGAAATCCCACTATTCTGGAATGATACCATCTGCTGCAGCCCAAGTGCTCTTTTTTTAGCCAAATAAGTTAATTATAATTAGGCATCCAACAACTGTGTGGAGGTAGGGGTAGAATTTGTTCTGAAGTTCAGCTGAGGTTCACCCAGCGTAGTTTGAACCAAATCCCATTCTCTCAGGAAGATTAAATACGAGAGATCTGAAAACCAGACGCCATCATTTCTCAAAGAAGTTGGGGAACTCCCTGGAGAAACGTCTTCAATCTCAACCAGAATTCTTTTCATATGCCCATCAAATAAAACCTGATAAAACGGTAGCATCAGGCACCTTTCGTATCGTGCCAGAATCTAATGCAAGGTGCAATCCTTGCAAGACACGGGAAGGACCCGAGCCTTTCGTGCCGCCCCAGCCACTGCTGCAGGTGCTGCAAGGAAGGCATTTCTGAGTCATTGCCCCTAACACTGCTCTCCAACCAGGTGAAGTCTTGTTCGATCATCGCTAGAAGTATACTGTTGTCCTTTTTGCAAAACAACAAAAACAATGTTAATCAGGTTAATTCAATCATCTAAACCAAAACTGTTCATGCTTTTCTGCCAAATCAACCAACCACAGCAAAATCTGTTATCAGTGATTGCTCAGCTTCCAGTCAAAAAAGCTTTTAACCCCCACAGTCCCAAAACTTCCCCTAAATAACCTTAAAATTATTTTTATATGGGCAGAATAAGGTTGTTTTCATGCCTCATGAAGGGGTAGTTGGGCTGCAGTATTTACACAGAACAAATACATGCTAACAGACTTAGCAGAGAGGAACAGGCACAGCAGCTTCCTAAAACAACTCGGCTGAATTAGATATTGGGGATTCCTTTGCAAATGAAACATTTCCCTCAAAAGGAGCATTGTAACCAAAACTTATTTAGGCCTTCCAGGTTGTTTAACTCGGAAAAAAAAAAAAAATCCAAGCTTTTTTGCAACTCATTCATCAGTGTTTAAAGCTTCAAGCCCGCTCAGTGGAAGGGGCAAGGGCTGCAACAACTTATTTACACAATTATCTAAATACGATTAAACAGCTGATGGACAAATATTAAACTGGAAAATGTATAGTCATTTCAGCTTAATGTAATCCTCTTTCTGTAAACACCCAAGATGATTTTTTTTCAACCAGAACAGTCCTGACATCTCATAAGCCTAAGGGTGAATAGCAAGAGATTGTTTTTGATAGTTATAAATATTCAAAAGACATGCAGACCATCTGCTTTCATAATACAGGTAAAGCAAGACTGAAATGGTGACTGCTGTATAAAAATGGTTCTTTTAACAAAGTCTTCCTCTCCTCGAAAACTATAAAGACAGATGTCAAAAACTGTTTACACAGGGTAATCAGGAGCGTGCAAAATGTAATATTCCTTTTACACACAGTGCTTGCTAAAGAGATTTTTTTTTCTTTTTCTTCCCATCTGTGTGTTGCAACACATTTCTACAAGTTAAAAACATTTTTTCAAACAGAGATCTCATGAATACCCAAAAACATGCTATCTGGTTTCTGAATGCTAATTAATTTCAACTAAGGAATCTGATTTTTTTTCTGTAGGAAGGAATGCATGCTTTTGAAATGGAGTACTTCAACAATAACAGACACTGAAAACAGAACACCCCACAAGTTTAATTTTGCACTAGTTTGACACTGGCTATTTTCACAACTGTTTTACATTCAAACCCGCATCTGCTAAATCTGGCTATGAGACAGACAGGAACTATTCTCCTGCTTTTCAAATGAGATTTTATTTATGTTTTACTATTTATCAAGTTTTTCAGTGTAAAGCCTTGTAACAACATAATGGTTTTGTCAAGTGGTAAGTAGAAGATACCTTGTCTTCCA